TGTGTGTGTGTGTGTGTGTGTGTGTGTGTGTGTGTGTGTGTGTGTGTAAACCCACATAAATGTTTTTATTGGATTTAGGCAGGACACAGCCTATAGGTGACAAGAAGCTAACCAATGGCAAAGCCACCATCAAATCATAGGAAGGATGTATCTGCAGAATCTCACACTGCCTTTCTAGTAAAAACGCATGTTCAAAAAAAATGCTTTCTGAAGGTCTCAAGTCTAATCTAATCTAATGGCATAGACATTATCCCAATATTCTAGCCCCCAAATTCTGGATAAAAATACCTAAAACAGCAGGAATTGCTAACTAATGTGCAATTCCCCATTTCTTTCTTTCTTTTTAAAAATATGTGTAGGATATTGGGAATACACTCAACCTGTATACCATATAGTTAGGAAGGTCAGACAGTAATGCTGCTCTTCAAATCAGATGCAGGAATCACAAGAAACTCTACTTAGAAACCTCTACCAGTGGCAAGTTCTTTCACACTTCAGCAAATGTAAAATAATAATGATAATGATAAATAATACTCTACAGCCAGTAGCCTTCTCTTCTAAAATGTACAATAAAAGTAAATATAAATCCAGTCAGGATTGGTGGAATACCCTCCCTATGTCCGGGACCGTGCTCAGTGCAGGGATGGAAACTACACCACATTGTGAAGACACGCTGTCCTCCCAGCTGTAATTTGCCAAACTTACCTGATATGCCACTCACAACTTGCATGCATCTCACTTACTTCACCAGTAACATCCTCAATAGCGTGCTGTTTTTCTGAAAAGCTTTTATCCCGGATGTTCTTTGTCATATGGCGTCTTTCATCCATTTGTAAGCACTCAGAGATAGAAGGCTCCATTGATTTTGTTTATCCTTGCCTAAATTCCATTAGTCTATTTTGATTCTAAGAGACTGGGAGCCATACCAGCCAAATGATATTAGAGGAAAGCTTCTTGTGATTATGTACTTAGAGCTATTTTCCAGTGGCATTCCAGAAAGATCTATCCCTCTGAAAAAGGTAAAATTTTCTACATCTTGGGTTATCATCTTGCTTCTGCATGAGTCCTATATGAAGGTGCTGGTTTGGTGGCATGAACATGAATTATTATGTAGATAATTTGTTGTCCAAGGACATCAATTGACACCTTCAGTGACCTAGCCGATGCTCCTAGAAGGCCAGCAGAGTAGAGAGTTTCTAAGTTCTGAAAGGTGTGTTTTATATTTTTGCTGTGACAGTCCTTCTTTTTAATGTTTCAGGACAGGTATTCTAAACTTCTGCCAAGGAATTCTTGTGTGCAGATATATACTGGGGAGCCTCAGGGCACCTGGAAATGCACATTTATGAATCGTGTTAATTTTCAGAATAAATTACAACCTAGAGCTTTTTTCCTTTTTGTAGATGTTTCCCCTCTCCTGAGGAAGGAAAAAAAAAGAAAGAAATAAATTGGAGTTTTCAATCACTAACACCTAAAAATTAATTCTTGGTTTTCACCCAAATAATTTACTATCCTTAGTTTTTAATTCCTTGGCTCAATTATGAATTACATAGGCTATGAAATGCAGCTGAATGGTCTTCTTGTCATGGGTCCAAATAAATTTAGATGTATCCTTCATCTGAAAAGTATGCCACTAAAATATTATTCCATATAGAGAAACCCCATACACACAGAATACAAACACATCCCAGGAACACTGAGGACTGGAACCTGATGGAACATTGTATGAAAGACTCTTGTGTTCTCAGTCTCTTGAGGCCCAGCCACAAAGCCAGAAACATAGCCAACTACTCGAACCAAGTCTACAAGAGAGACAGCAGTCTTCCATCCTGTGGCAAATTCGCCAGCATCTTCCATGAGTGGAAGCATGCATCATTTATTTATTTTCACTTTGTTTTTAATAGAAGTATAGAACTTTTATCCCTAATAATTGATTTTGCTTGCAAACTCTCCCTCCAGATAGCTTTTAGAGATGACTCTACTAGGTAGACCCTGTGGAGCTCAGTTATGGGCCAGGCAGCATGGTAAATACGGGCACACGTTAACTTAGGTAACTGTAGATTTTGCTGGAAGAGCAAAGATGTGTGCAAGAAACCTTTATGTGTGCCATCTTTTTCTTTTCTTCCTGAAGGAAAGTATCTCTTATGGGTTTGTAAATAAATACTATTTGTTTGGCACACCGAACGCTTGTTATAATACTCATGGCAAGCACTCAAAAATCGATGGAGAGGGTACTTATCTGAAACACACTACTTACCATTTGTAGAGCATTTCATAAGTCATTTTGTGGCCTGATCCGGAAGGGAGCAATGCTCAACCATCTGCATCATTGGCTCTGCCCTGTAGAACTACTATGGCATCACCTCCCTCATTTCTCTTTTCTGAAATGCATGAAACTCCCTTCTTCTATCGTTATCCATCCAAGGGCCTAGGCACCTCCTCCTGCATGCTGAGTCTGCTTTGGACACAGTGTTGCTTCCATCTCCCTCCTCCTCTCCTGTGAGGGGCCTTTCTCCTGTTCGTGTTTTACAGGCTGATGTCTCCAGAGCTTTGGGGTGGTCTTGTGCTCTGACTGCTTGCCCTAGATGAGCTGATTCACGGCAACCTTACCTGAAGCCTTTTCCTAATGGATCCCAAGCCCCTTCTCTATACCTTTCAACTGCTTACTAAGATGCCCAATAGTCCTTTCTCCCCCCAAACTCAACAGAACCATAGAAACTCACTGTCCAACCCATCCAAAGCTGATTTTCCTTTTCTGCTTCAGAGTCATTCATTCATTCATTCATTCATTCATTCATTTACCATGTGATCTCCACTATATGACAGGTATTAGAGAACAGCAGTGACCATGAGCCAGCTTCCACATCAAGTCAAAAGGAAGCCATACCGCCAGTGTGCTATCCAGCCTGTTGACCTGTTGAGAATTCCGTCTCTCTTTCTTCATGCTGTGCTTTTACCAGTCTTGCCCTGCCCTGAGCATTTCAGCTTACATTGCTTATCAGTTCATCTCTGTTCTCAAGACTGCTGCCATGGGTCAGGCCCCTGCTCCTGCAAGATTTTGCAACTGCCTTTCCTGCCTCTCATTTGACCTTTTGGTGATGCCAGGATGTCTATACACATACCTGTCTGTTCAGGTCACTGCCTCATGTAAAATTTCATAAACTTCTGGGAAAATATTCTTTCTGTAGCCTTTGGGCTTCTCATCCTCTCACTTGAGACACACTCTGGACTTTCCCATCTCCCCTTTGTCACAGACATCTGCACCACTGCCTCTGCCCTGAGAGTCTACTGTGGCTATTGTACACTATTCCATCACCTCCTATGGTTTTCTCTCTCTGAAATGTATACAACCCCCTTCTTCTAACTGTCTTTGTCTTCCAAAATCAGCTCAAGCATCACTTCTTCTTGAAGCTTTCCCCAAACCCTATTTACTTTAGAAAGTCTTCCACCCCGCTTCATAGACGCGGCATTCTATATTATAGTTAGCCTGGTAGTAACAATGTGCCTGCCTCCTACACAAGAGGATAAATTCAGTAACCTTGTGCTGTTGAAGTCTGCATCTTTGTGGCCAAATGTACTCAGGACTGGACAGATAACTGACTCTTAGCTTCCATTACCCACCACATTCTAAAGCTAAAAATCAGACCAGAAAATGGTGAATTAAATTAGGATTATTATAACTTGACCCACTGGGAAGAGGGGGAGAAAACTTCCCAGTTGCTTTTGATCTTTCCTGGGACTAAGACCAGGGTTAGGGAGATTTAGTGATGAGCCATGTCATCTCTAAATCCTTTCCAGAGGGCGGCGGCTCTGCTTGCTATTGCTGTCACTTGGGCTGATCCTACTCTCGGCATGGAAGTTCTATTATACTATCACATCTTCATGTCCAGTGAACGCTCTGGCACAGAGTATATGCTCAGTTAGTATCAATAGATTGAGTAGTGAATCTGTCAGTGTTAACGGGATAGCTAACCAAGGGATGGAAAATTAGAATTTTTCACGTAGCCACACCACTGGAAGTAGATTTTTTATCCCTTTATTTTAAAAGGGAGTATTTTTCAATTCTTCCAGTGTAGGCATAAATCACAAGCTGAGCTCAGCAACTCTATGTAAGGCTAAACAATACATGAGTGTCTTAAGTGGAGAACAGCAAGGCGGAACAAACCCAACCAAAGCTCAGTGCTCTTCTCCCAATGTCTGTTGGGTCATATTTATTCTTTTTCATCAAACGTCCTTTCATATGTCCGCTATATCCAAACATTCTTTCACCTGTGTCTGCTTCAGGAAAACATCCTTTCACGTGTTTGCTTTAGCAAGACATCCTTTCATCTGTGTGCCCTAGCAAACCATCATTTAACATGACTAACTTTCCAAAGAACTAGAAGTTTCCACTTCACTTCAGCTTGGGTGATTCAGGGGGATGGGTATTAATCCAGGTCTGTCCTCTATCTCCATCTTAAAACCAAATGAACAAAATTCATCAAAGAGCTCCAATGGGCTTGTCTACACGGTCTCATTTTGACTGATTGTTTATTCCATTTGCTGTAAGTGATTTTCAGCTAGGAGACAATTTAGTAAATACACATAGTCAGCAATATCTCTACCCGCCCCCGAATCTGTCTGCCTCTCTGCTTCTCTCTTTGCTTCCTGTCCCTCCTGTCTCTGCCTCTTTCTTTGCTTCTGTCTGCTCCACCTTCAATCTCTGATAGTGTTTAAAGGAACTAGGAGAAGAGAAGATATTCCCCAGCCTGGAAGTAGTTTGGGCCATAAGCAACATTGCGTATGTTTTATATGTTTTACAGATAACGGTGACTGTGACTGTGGCGAATGCGTGTGCCGGGATGGCTGGACAGGGGAGTACTGCAACTGTACAACCAGCAGGGACTCATGTGCATCTGAGGATGGAGTGCTGTGCAGTGGGCGTGGGGACTGTGTCTGTGGCAAGTGTGTCTGCAGAAACCCTGGAGCCTCAGGACCCACCTGTGAACGCTGTCCTACCTGTGGCGACCCCTGTAACTCTAAACGGTAATGTCTCTACTTCTTTATTCTGTTCTGTAGCTAGCTTTCTGTGTGATTAATGTTTGAATGACATCTAGTAAACTCAAACTAATTTTGTCATCTGGGTTTGGTCTCTGGCAGACATTAAAAACTCATAGCCCAAGGGCCCCAGTCATCCTCTGTCTGGAATGTCAGCCTCTTACCTGCTTCTTTCTGGGTTTTGGTTACCCAAAACCACAAAGTCACATTTCTCTAGTGGCAGCTGATGTCCCACACTGATAGTATCAGCTGGTCTCAGTCAAATGCCCTGGAGGTATCCTGATGACACTAACAGGCAATCGGTATCTTTTCTGGGGAAACAGACAACCATCTTATGTAGACACATCTAGGCTGACTTTGTAGGATTTGTTCCCATCATGGTAGACCAAAGGAGGTAGAAGTAGGGAGACAATCTTAGCTTTCGCTTCTTTCCCCTTTATCACCGTGCACTCTGGCACTTCTGTGTGGTTATCATTACACACACAAATACACACACACATACACACACACATATACACACACACACAGAAACACACACATACACACACATATACACACATACACAAACACACACACATACACACACATATACACACACACATACACACACACACACACACACAAACATACACACACGGTGGGTTTTTTTTTTTTTGCACTGCTAAGACAATAACAATTAAATACACCCATATGTTTCTATTAAGACTGGTTTCTGGTTAGCAGTTTCACTTTACATAGTTGGAACAAATTTTTGTAGGTCTGAAGGTGGTCTCCACATGACTATTGTGGGGTTGCATTGTCTCTGGTAAGCAGTCAATGTGACCGAGCAGCCCATTCTTTTCATTGACTTAGATTCCTGAAATGATGACATTTGCATTTCTGTTGTAATCAAGGGAGAAAGTCCATTTCCCCCAATGGTTACCCACCAACCAGGTGTCAAAACTTTTCTGTCACTGTCCCTGGCAAACTGAGACACATGACAGACTGTGGAGCTTGATTCATACGACTTAGATAAAATCAAATATAAACTTTCCACTGTAGTTTGGACAGAGTGATTGCCTAGCACCCATAAGTCTCTGGTTCAATCCCCAACCACCAACAAAAAAAAGTAAAGTTTCTTCAAGATATAGACGTTTGTCTTAGTTAGGGTTTTACTGCTGTGAACAGACACCATGGCCAAGGCAACTCTTAGAAGGACAACATTTAATTAGTGCTGGTTTACAGGTTCAGAGGTTCAGTCCATTATCATCAAGGCAAGAATATGGCAGCATCCAGGCAGGCATGGTGCAGGAGAAGCTGAGAGTTCTACATCTTCATCTGAAGGCTGCTAGGAGAAGACTGACTTCCAGGCAGTTAGAATGAAAGACTTACAACCCACACCCACAGTGACACACCTACTCCAACAGGGCCACACCTTCTAATCCTGCCACTCCCTCGGCCAAGCATATACAAACTATGACAATGTTTCTTTCATTGCTTTTCTATCTCATCTCCTCTGTAACCATGAATCAGTACTTTATCTGGCTTATAAGATGTGATATTAACAATTAAAGTTGTTCCAGTTTAGGAACCAGCATCATCTACTTGCTGTTGAGGCTAGTTTTGAGATGGGTCTGTTCTTTCTTTTACTCACATGCTCATTTACCTGACAAGTATTAAGCACTTGCTGTATGCCATGAATGGTGTCAAAACATATACATGCAGTAAAACAGTTATGGTATCTACCTTCATAAGTGCTAAGGGCCTAAGGTAAAGATAGGATTTTATTCTTTGCCTATGTATATGTATACAGTGTGTGTATGCAGGTTTGCATGTGTGTAGTACAGATGTATGGTTAGTGCATGTGTATGGGTGTTGTAGACCAGGAGTAGTTCAACATCAGGTTTCTTCCTTGATCACTTTTCCCTTTATTTACTGAAGTAGGGTCTCCAATTCCAGATAATCTGGCTAGCCAGCTTGTCATGGATCCCCTGTTCTGCCTCCTGAGTGACTACAGGTGGCTGTCATACTTGTCCAGTTTTTATGTGGACTTTGGGGATCTGAACTCTGGTCCTCACACTTGCATGGTCATCCCCTAATCCCATTTTTTTTTCAGGTAATTAACAGAGATATGTGGGCTTCTAGCCACAGTGGGGATATAGAAGATGCTACAGAACTACAGGGCAGGGGAGACCAGCATTGCTGGGGCAGTCACAGTTAAATGCACAAAAGCAGTTTGAAGAATCTCTACCGTATGCTCCAGGCCCCCACCCAGCCTGCCCAAATATATTTAAAACACAAAAGCAGCTTCAAGCAAGACTTGTGCTTCCATTCCCACATAGTTGCTGATCCAAGCCTGCCTACAGAACAGGGGTTCTCAGCCTGTGGGTTGAGATCCCAACAGGGTCACATATCAGATATCCTGCCTATCATATATTTACATGAGGATTCACAACAGTGGCAAAATTGCAGTTGTGAAGTAGCAACAAGCTAATTTTGCGGTTGAGGGTCACCACAGCAACGGAAGTCCAGCTTCTGCTGAGCTCCCACGAGCATGGGGATTTCAGGTCCTTTGAAGACTGTCCCTTCCCAAGGCATGCTGCGTCCCCACAACAAGAAACATTTGCAGATCTGTCCTACTCCAAACTGAATCTCTTTGTAAAGTTATTTGTAGCATAAGATTAATTCAAGACCTACATTCTACTTTGGTCTACAGGCATCTTTAAAGTAGTATAATTTCCTTGTATCCTTGGAAATATACTTTTCTATAAGCAACAATCTTTTATTTAGAAGCCTGAATTAATGAAGATCTGGGTTATAATCCTAAGCCTTAAGAACCCACCATCGAGGCTTATACTTATTCAAAAGAAGTAGCAGGAAATTGAGTTTTAGAATCATCGCATTTGACATATATTAAGAGCACTCACCATTTGTAGAATCCCTGCTGAGATGTGGATCATTTGTGTTAAGAAGTTCGTAACTTTGTCTAGACTCTAGTCATATTTATGGATATAAACACTCCCTTATGTTGAAAATGTGAAATGAAAATATAGCTAAATCAAATACTGAAGTATATTTTTAACCCATCAGAAGCAATCACTACAGAAAAAATGATGATGGATAGAGGCTGTTATCAAGGCTGACTTGGGGGACTCTGATTATGGAGTAGAGATCAGAACAATTTAACATCCTCCTAGATGCCACTCAATCTTCTTTCTGAAAGTATCAAGAGGTCACTGTCACCAGTGAGACTGCGTAGGAGAAGACATGCCAGCTGCTTGCCTGTTCTCCACCAACGTGAGCTGATGAACTCTGTTGTCCTTCCACAGGAGCTGCATCGAGTGCTACCTGTCTGCAGATGGCCAGGCCCAAGAAGAGTGCGCGGACAAGTGCAAAGCCTCCGGTGCCACCGTCAGTGAGGAAGGTGCTCCTTGTCTTAAATCACTTGTACCAGGAGCTAGCCGCCCAAGTTCCTTGTCCCCATTTAGGGAATAAATGCAATTTCTAAAGTCGAAGAAATGATGAACTGAAGAAAAAGCAACTTAAAGTCGTGGCTAGTCTATTGGTCTCCGGCTTTGTTAGAGCGTTCACCCCTGTTTGACAGGGGCGACTGCAGAGAACTCTACAAGGCTCTATTTTCCAAACTACCAGGAAGAAAATTGAAGAAATGGCTGTGAGCTCCCACTGGCAGCCTGAAATTTTCCTCTATCTCGGGATTGCCTTATTTCGAGATAAGATAAAGTCTGAAGTAACAGTTGGCCTGACTGTACTTTACAGATTCTGGAAGTATTCTGTTCAGTAGCTTTTACTTCCAGCCTCTAAGCCATGGGTACATCACCATCTCCCCATCCCTCACAGCCATGGGCATTACATCACCATCCCTCCATCCCAGCCTCACAGCCATGGGTACATTACCCTCCCTCCACCCCACCCTGACAGCCATGGGGATTATATTACCATCCCTCCATCCCTCACAGCCATGGGCATTACATCACCATCCCTCCATCCTTCACAGCCATGGGCATTACATCACCATCCCTTCATCCTTCACAGCCATGGGTACATCACCATCCCTCCTTCCCTCTGGACTCATTCTCCTGATCCAAGAAACACTTATTCTAACTGATAATTACGTTGAGCTCCCATTTTCATCTGTCATATCTAATTATTTAAAATGAGAATCTAGTGGCAAAGATGCATCACCAATATTTAACAGGACTGTGTTATAGCTGGGCAGGACAGGATAGTATATGGCCTGTAGGACACATGTATTGAATGGATGGAGTTAGAATATGGAAACTAATGTATTTCCAAAATAGAATATAGAAAGACATTTATATTTTTTTTAATACTTTGTTTCAAAATTGTTGTGAAGCTACAATCGAATTCCTGGTGTGGCTGGACATGATGAGGGCTCATAAAACCCTTTGTCTGTGCTTTACTGGTGACCACAGATAAATATGCCAAATAGTAGCAAGTGGAATGAGAGGCCATGTGCTTTGTCTGACACCAAAGGTGAGCCACATGAAAGCACCGAGAACGAGCAGCATTTGTGGAGTGTCCACATCAGTAACTAATGTGTATCTCGGTGGATCTTCCAGGCTCCCTTCACAGCAGTGAGGATATTTACCAGCTGTCTCTGCAAAATGAGCAGAAATAGCAGAAAATGCCTGCAAATGACTAAACTCAGTTCGCCAGCAACATGGGGAATGCAGTGTGATGGGGAGGCATGTCAGTCACGGAGGTGTGAACCAGGCAGTCGCCGCCCGCCTGCCGTGTCTAGGTTCACAGTTTTCAGGGCAGATTGTCAGAAGTGCTTCATCTGGAGAGGAAGACTAGCTTCCGTGGCATTTAGAATATCTGTATCCTTCTTTTGTATTTAAACAAAGTATCTTTAAAAGAGAAGGATAGGTACTTTGGTTTCTAACTTGGAAAATGAAAATAGCCAGTGGACCATTCACTCTCTCTAAACAGTAACCTGGACAAACCTGAGTGAGAAGTCATTTGTCTGACTGTGACTTTAAAAGGCACCTTTCTTATAGCCTCTAATGTCACTGTCACACCACTCTGAAAAGATGACATCACATTTGCTCAGCTAAAGGTCTTTTAGCACCTACTTTCCTCTGCTAAGGACATAGAGTAAAACAGACATACTGTATAATTCACAAACTCACCCACCTTGCATGGGCGATGGGGGTGTGGTGGGGTGGGGTGGGGGGATGGGATGGATATATCTGACTTTATTAATTCTGTTTTAATCAAAGAGTCTTGCTTCTTAATTTACCCCACTATTCCAGACACTCAGATCATTGTTGCTCAATGTTTGTTCCACCAAACACTGTCTCTGAGAAGTTCAGTGAACTAAAGCATGCACAGCCATAGCCATTCTGGAAATGGGAAACTCAGGACCCCAGGGCTTTACAAGTCTTCAAAATTGCTATGTACATTAAATTAAGCATGAGTGTGAGTCACCAGGAGAGGCACTAAAGTGAAAAAGAGATTCTCAAATTTATCTCACTATAGAAGCCCCACCCCCAACACTCAGCACCATCATCTTTGGAAGCTGTTTACTTCCAGGACTTTAAGCTGATTGCAGAGCCGAGAGCTTAAAACTGTGAGTCAATAGTACAGACACTCATGTTTTCTTCATTTTTCCCTGGACCTTCCCAGACCTGCATCTCCACCTCCACCCCTCTATCCCGCACTCCATGGCGTTTATATGTCTTCCTTCACTAAGCATGATTTCCCTGGCTGCCTGAGATCTTATTTTCCCTGTATTATTTCAGTGGCAGTAATTCAAGTCTCACAGAGGAGGGGGTAGGGAGCGAGAAAGAAAGGGCCATTTTTCTATCAACAACAAAAAGAAAACCTTAGCAGCTAATTATGCAAATCTTTCGTTGCACGTCCGATAATGCTATTTCAACACGCAAACACTACAAAACAGGGCACATCTAGCCTGCGACGGTCAAGAAAAGAAACGGTGCAGTAATTAAAGTACAAGGGGGGAGTTGTGGCTCAAAGGTCAGGTCTGTAGTTCCATTAAAACTTAAATAATCCTGGCCAAGGAAAGTAAGCCTCCCTATGCTTCAGCGTGGCTATTTAAAAGAAAAGAAAGAGGCAGGATTAATATTACTGTGAAATGTGGATGATAAGCCATCGACATGCTTTCAACCTGAGAGTCTGACGTCCCATTAAGGGAGTTCTAGAGAGCTGTAAAGCTCTCACTGCTGTGGCCCACGCTGAAGAAAGAGATGCAAAATGCAAAAGCACACTCCCCAAGATTCCATGAATCTGAGTTACTGGAGTGGAAGGGAGGCGGTGGTGAAGGTCATATAAAAAGGACCAAACTGCGGCCTCAATAAGAGTGCCTGCCATTTACCACCAAACACGTGGAATAACCCCGGCCGTGCTCATCCGGTTGCCAAGAGCTTCCCAGATCTTTTCATCCAAGGCATCCAATTAGAATGCTTATTAAATCATCGCTTAATGCCCAAGCCCTGTGTGCATCACAGACTCTCCCATTAAAACACCTCAGATAGGTTCCCAGAATTGGTATTTTCGAATCTCCCAGGTGAGTCAGATGGCCATATGCATATGGAAATGACCAAATGAGGGTCATTTGCATTTTAGTCCCCAATAGTCATGTGTACATAAATAGATGCTCCTAATGAGTTCAAAACTAGTTAGTTCACGTAAATCTATTGTACAAAATCTCATTTAGAATGCTGAATTTATTATTTACTGGTTCCTATTGTCATGAATGATATAAGGCATATTAGTCATGGATCCTATTGGGTTTTTCTTTTAAAAATCAAATGCAAGGATGACAAACAATAGCAACTTAATTTTCCATATTTTATGATTAGCATTTCTGTGCCCTAAATAGCCCTGGATGGGCTGGTTTTTTTTTTTTTCTTGTAAGAACACAGACATCACACACACACATGAATGAATTCTATCTTATTAGCATCTTTAAATCTTTAACATCTTAAACTAATGGGAAAAAAATCACAGTCTAGGAAGAGTAGGTCCAAGATTACCTGGGACAATTTGATTTCCATAATCTGTCTTTGCACACTAATATTGGCTCATATAGCATAGGAGTTTAGATTAAATGTTATTTTAATTACAGGTTTCTGAAAAACTGTAACAATGTCATCAAAAAATTCTAATTTAGAATGAGAATTATGAAATTAACTTATTTTGCTTTATTTCTGAAAGTCCTAGATTATTTTGGCAAGGGTAGCTGCGACACCATAATTTTTGATGTGTGACCTAGGAGTTTAAATTTTTTTTAAAGATTTATTTATTTATTATATGTATATATGTGCCCTGACTTCATGCATACCAGAAAAAGGCATTGGATCCCATTACAGATGGTTGTGACCCACCATGTGGTTGCTGAGATTTGAACTCACGACTTCCAGAAGAGCAGTCTGTGCTCTTAACCGCTGAGCTATCTCTCCAGCTCCTAAAATTTTTATTAACAACTACTGTCATGAAATTCATTTTCTAACTCTTGAATAAGCTTCATGAGGAAAAATTCACCTTCTTGTTAAGAAAGAGGGTAGGCTGAATGTCCGACAGCTCTTATCCTGAGTTCCTTCTAATCTGAAGTTTCCCTTTATCCTGCGGGTCTCTGAGCTACACGACACCTCTGCCTCAGTTTCCTGATATTAATTTCTTCTCCCCATGCAACAATGCAAAGCCTGAAGTCCTGGCTACACCACTGTGAGAAGTCCTCTGTATTAGCATCAGTATCCATCTACACTGAGCAGCAGTGTAATCTAGCCGTTCTCCCAGATGCTCTGTGCTGAGAGGACTGTGCAGCCCCCTCATTACCATAACCAAGGCCATTCTACTCCCCAGGCAGCTGTGGGCACCTGCTTCGAGCTTCTTTCACTCTATTGAAATCTGCTTCCTTCAGATTAATAGGTAATTTTGATGGTCAGTCCTGATTGACCACACCTGGAGCCATTCTTCTGGAACATAACTAAAAACCAAAGTTCTCACTTGGTGGGAAAACCCTATGCCTTTCATTTCCCACTCGACAGTATTGCAAATTCTGATTTGCATATTAAACTCAATACCACTTTGCTTTAAAAATTATCCCTTTTGAAATCTCATCTAACCTAATGAATGACTCTTTCATCTGCAGATTTTTCAAAGGATGCTTCTGTCTCGTGCTCTCTACAAGGAGAAAACGAATGTCTTATTACATTCCTAATAACTACGGATAATGAAGGGAAAACCATCATTCACAACATCAATGAAAAAGGTGAGTGCCTTGTGTTCTATTACCAATGTCAAGTGATACCACCTGGTCGAAGGCATACAGAAAGTCCCCTGAGGTAGCTTGCCAAGAAAGACGTTACAAAATTTGGGGTGAAGTGCTTCTCCAAAGGTTGAAAAAATCCCATTAAAGCCATTGCTGTGTCCTCGTGTCTTTTATTAAGACGAGGTAACATGATGACATTAATTTGGACCAGGCATCACCTCCCTAGAATCTACTGGCACTGTAGAAAGGTTAACCAAGAAAAGGATGTACTCAACAGGCGTGTCTTTTCAGAAAACCTGGCAAGAAGGACTATGATGGTTGGTATAAGCTTGGCCCAGGGAGTGGCTCTATTAAAGGTGTGGCCCTGTTGGAGTAGGTGTGTCACTGTGGATGTGGGTTTTTAGACCCTCATCCTAGCTGCCTGGAAGCCAGTATTCTACTAGTAGCCTTCAGGTGAAGATGTAGAACTCTGAGCTTCTCCTGCACCACGCCTGTCTAGATGCTGCCAAGCTCCTAGACCTTGATGATAATGGACTGAAGCTCTGACCCTGTAAGTCAGCCCCAATTAGATGTTGTCCTCATAAGAGTTGCCTTGGTCATGGTGTCTGTTCACAGCAGCAAAATCCTAACAACTTTAAGTGGTGGTTCAAATACTATTTTGTTGTGCAACCACTCTCTGAGATTGTGGGATATACTTGCCTTTCCGAACATCTTATTTCCTCATCTGTAAAATGGGAACAATAACGGCACAATCTTTTAAGAGGTGACTCAAAGGATAAGCGGACTAACAGGGAATGTAACACGTTTGCCAAAAAGTGTCCTCGCAGCAATGGACATCAGTGACAATGTTGGATCAGGAAAGACACATGACAACAAATAAGGGTGTGGCCACAGAAGATGACAAAGTGCCAGGTCAGCCAGCATACACCTATAATCCCAGTATTCAGGAGACTGAAGCAGGAGAATTACTTTGAGTTCATGGTAGCCTCAGCTCAGTGATACCAGATCAGGCCAGGCAGGAGCCCTTTGCTTCTGTGCTCCTGTGGATTTTCAACCCTGTCAACACATGGAATCAGTTTCACATAATTCACATAGGAACTTTCCAATTCTATTACATCTCCACCCAAGGGAAAAGACGAGTTTATATTACACTGGAAGAGAAACAGTAGAGAACTTAGCTTTAAGAAGCTTTCAAATTGTGTGGGTATCCGACTCTTCTGCAGCTTATCTAAGATGTTTGTGTCCTGAGTCAGCAGGCCTGTGGGCACTGAGTCTACATTCTGACAATCCAACTTACCACGGATGTTTCCAGCTCTCCTCACAGCCACTGTGCTAACAACCTTAACTGAGTTCTGAGACACTCACAGGTGCCTTGAATTTTCTGTCTTTAGCAATGACCTATCTCTCCCTAAAATTTCCCCAAAAATTGACAGATGCATTTTCAGGCTTCATCAGACTTGGGGTTGGAGTCTAATGTCTGGCCCAGACAACAGCACCACATACAGGGTATAAAAAGAAGGGTTTTGGTGTTGGTATTTCTTTTTCAGTGTGCTGGTAAATGTTAAATCCTGATTTTGAAACTGAAAGTATCCAATTGGTATCACCCTAGAGGTTGAAAGCCCAAATAATATCAAAATACCTGCAAAGTAGGTATAAACCTCATATTCTAATCAAGAAAGGGATGAGAGAAACATCACATTGCTGTACCAAGGGCAAGGCAGCTGGAGGTCAGGCACAACCCCTGAAATGTGGGGGTGACTGTAAACACGGTTTTGCTGTTTGTGAGGGTGGCAGGGAGCTCCTGTTGACAGGCACTTAGAAACACCATGTACTCGTTTCTGAGCTATTCGAACACAAAAGGCATCTTGCAGCCATCAGTTAAGAAGACAGGGTGACCCATGCTCTGTGAGACCAGATTACTTCATAAGACAAAAATCCTGCCGCCTTATTATCAGCTTTGTAAAGTCAGCGTCTCCAGCTGCACCCCAACGCTGTGTTAATTGCCATAGTGACTTTAGCATGATATTCTGAAATCAAAGCTACCCCTTAAAATATTGATTCTATTGGAAAAACCCATCCCAGACAACAAAGCCGCTTCTGTAGAAGGCCTTGCTTTCAGTGTGCAGGCTTTTGTGCTTGGCTGGTTTGATTTTTTTTTCCTTTCTAGTCTCTCCCCACCCACATCCCCACCCTCCACACCCATGGAACATGCCTTCGGCTGAGAAATACTGTATTGTTCCTGAACTGTTGTCTGTTCTTTTATTCTTGGGCACGGTGTGAGTGACACACCACGCACCATGCTTCAGATCCCTCACAGATGCCTGACATCTGTATATATAGTATAGCATCTTCTTTATCCCTATTCTTTTGTAGTAAGGGAAAGGGAAGGAAAAGCTATCTCCCTGAGATTTCACTTTCTGATCTTCTGACAGGCCCAAGGATACCTCAAATCCCCATTTCTGGATAGGCCTTCCAGAAGCTCCAAGGTGGTAGCCTACCCCCAGGAGACTGTAGTGCCTTCCTCCGGCAGCACTGAGACCTGTGGCTCTGAAGGTAGACGCTGGGAGAAGTAAGGAGGCCAAATGAAAAGCCAGGAAAAGAAGGGAGAGGTTAATGATTGCCAGTATCCTCTACGCAAATTGAAAAGGGAGCAAGCTGGTCCAGGGTGCTCACTGTTGCTGAGGAGGCAGGGTATCACTCATCTTCCTTCTTCTATCTGGATAGAATGTCAGAGCCTACAAGCCATGCCAGAAATAAAACAGACAAAAACAAGGACAGTTGAGCCTTCCTTGCAGAAAGAAGCCAATCACATAACTTGGTACAGGCCGAGCTTGCACGATCCATGCCCTTGCCTTCTGGGAGACAGAAAAGGGAGGGGCACAGTCTCTTGGTGTATGGGGCCCTTACTGGTCCACATGTCTAGTCCACAGATCAGTCATCATGTTTTCTATGTGCTGATGTCACACAGTATCCTCCACAACTCTACAGAGTGAGTATCAGTATTATTTCTGTTCTGCAGGTGAGAAAGTCGAGGCTTGGAAGCAAACACCTCGCTAGGTCCCTCAGTGACTGAACATACATCTGTTTGCTTGAGGACCTCTAACAGCCTGGCTTCGAGCCCAGGCTCTTAACCACTGTGCTACACTGCCTCCCACTGGCTACACAACTGTAATATATATCTGAATCTAAAAGATGCCAGCATTGTCCAATAGGGACTGTTAGGTGAACCCTATATAAAATGTATCATTTCCTAGAAACTTCATTAAAAAGTCAAAAGAGATAGGTGAAGTTCAATTTCTTCACCAGTCTCCAAAATATTCTCATTTCAACATGAAATCAACACAAAAATCAAGGTGTTCTATATTTTTCATTCTTAGACTGTAAGATAGTTCTTTGCTATTTGTAGTACATCCTGATTTAGATGTCACATTTCCAGTGCCCAATAGTCATGTATGGTACAGCTAACCGCTTAGACAGAGCTGAGAGTTCGATATTCAAAACCTCAGCATTAGGTAGAGCAGTGACCCAACCTGACAGGCAACATTACACATAGGACTAGAGCTAACCCTCTCCTCCCACCTAGGTCGCTGTCTTCAGTGACCAAAGGAATACGGAGAGCCTGAAAAGTAAGAGTCTGTGTTCTGATACCTACCTTGGAACTTGGGCTGAATCTTTTCTTGAGAAATTCACAGAATCCAATGAGCCTAAGTTTTTAAATGATTCTCTCTCCAAAGCCACACCTTTTCTCTGTTGATTCTCTAGTTGAACACCCTCCTGATTCATCTTCCAGGTAGGTATAGGTCCCAGCAAGCTACATTCTTCTGTGACTAGGAAATGTTCTGTCCCTGACCAGAGATTTCTTGGCCAAAGATCTAGCTGGATCAGTGTATTTTCTCAGGGACACAGCCCTGCTTCGTTTGCTTGCTACAACGCAGCCTTTAGCTCTTGGCACTATAGTAAGTAGGCCATTAGCAATTCTTATTTCTTCATAATGTCCTTATATGGTTTTCTACCCAGAAAACGTGTGTGAGATGAGGCATCACACTGTTAAGGGGTCATTAGTCCCCTTAGATTCAGGTCTGAAAAGCCAAACAATCCATCCTCAACGTTCAACTCTCCTTTATTAACTGTCTAAGAGTAACATTATAGAGGGTAGGCTAAGCCTGATTCTTTTCTTTCCCAGACACTGCCAGGTTTTTGTCTCACCTCTGATGGAGGATGCAGATATTTAATGATCTTTTGATGTGGAATTTCTTCCCAGGGAAGCAAAAGAAGGACTTAATTATAATGCTTCATTAAGAGAGTCATCATCTTGCACATACTGCAAGGATCATCAGTTGTCTTGCTGTCAATGGAGGAAGGCGCTATCTAACTGCAAAATTACACTAATACCATCAGATAGAGCCAAAATGGCCTATCATGGAATCTTCAAGTTGAGCGTATCTAATTCCCTACCCTTTCTTGATCATAAGAACAACTTAGATACTGTTAATAATGTATAACCTGTGGTATTACCCAAGACTTACTGAAACAGAATATCCTGGGCCAGGGGGAGGTCTAGAAGGCTGTGGTTTTGATAAGCAAGACCACCTCAACATATTTCTGTCTAGGCAAGCGGTCCATACTCCCAGTCCTTGGTTTGGGTCAGAGTCTCACTGTGGAGCTCAAGATGGCCTTCAACTTGCTTTGTAGCCTAGACTAGCATCAAACTCCTACATCTGCCTGCTGAATGCTGGGATTGCAGGCATGACTAACCAGGCTAGATTAATAATTTTTAACATAATCCTGAGACTGTTCACAATTCAAGGAAATTCTTGACAAAATAATTCTATGTACCAAAGTAGCTGTGATGTACTCAGGGGAGAATATTTTGGAAAATGAAAATGTGGTATTTTTATGGTTCTTTAAATAGTTCATGTATATTAATTGCCACTTTGTTTTACTAACGTTTTAAAGTCAACTATCCAATCTATAGCCAATTTTCCATATCTGCGGGACATTTAGGTCCAGGTCCTTCTGTGACAAAGATACCAAAACCTGTTAATACTGAAGGTCCTTATATGTGCCTAGAATTTACACACATCTTCTCATCTACCTGAAATTATTTCTAGGTTACTTACAAAATGTGATATGAGAGTTGAAATGTAGCTCAGGAGGTAGAGTGCTTGCCTAGCATGTATGAAGGCCTTGGTTCAATCCCAAGCACTGTACTAAACCAGGTAGAGTAGAATACATCTGTAATCCCAGCATCCCAGCACTGGGGAGGTAAAGACAGATGTTCAAGGTCATCCTTGGCTGTAGAGTTTGAGGCCAGCCTGTGATGCAGGAGACATTATTGAGAGGGGGGAGGGGATAGAAGCCAAATACAATATAACTGTCGTCTCAATATTTATTACACTTACCATTTAGAAAGTAACACCAAGGGGAAAGACAGGGCATGTTTAATAAAGACATATTTATATTTTCAATCCATAGTTTGTTGAATCTCTGTATATACAACCAAGAATTTACAAGGCTGGTTATAAATTCATTTTTTGGATTGATTTGAATCATTTGTTTTACTAAGAATAAATACAAATATATCTTTAAACAAGTAACTCAGGTTTAAAAGAAAAAAATCCACCAGACAAGAAGGTATCAGCGTGTATTTCTATAAAAAATATTTGAATAGAAAATCCAATGAGGAAGGTCTTTCCATTCCATGAGATGGGCATGCAGCTTAGCAGAATTGTCCAGTGTCCTATGCTCTGGGTTCAACCCCTGCATCTCAGTGAGGGGTCAAAAAGCCTTCTTACAGTCAAATACTCATTGTGGCAGCTTCTAAAGATTATTTCATCTGCTCCCCTAGACTGCCCCAAACCTCCGAACATTCCCATGATCATGTTGGGGGTGTCACTGGCTATCCTGCTCATCGGTGTTGTGCTACTGTGCATTTGGAAGCTGCTGGTATCATTTCACGACCGGAAAGAGGTTGCTAAATTTGAAGCAGAACGATCTAAGGCCAAGTGGCAAACGGTATGTGAACTCTGGAGACCTGATGAGAATGATCAGGGACTCAGCCATCCTCTATAGAGTTCAGACGTTACGTCTATGATCACTCTCGGTGTAGCCCCAACAACAGCTTTAGTTCTATCTTGCTTAGAGAACAGAAGAAGCCATTGTCTGGACCCGGGTTGTTCTCATGATGTAGGATGTCTTGGTGAGTGGGGTTGTAACAGCTGAAGAGGCTCATGAAACTCCTGCTATGGTGACTTGGGGCTGTTGTGGAGGCAACCTTCTGAAGTGAAGCATAGGCACTGTATCTAAACATTTCTGTAAATTGATTGTGTTCTCTCTAATGGGGGAATGTTCATGGATAGCATGACAGTTCATGCCAATTTCCATGGAAATACTTGTTACGGGTGTACAGATGCAAAGTTGACAGGCCTTTTCAAATACCAGGTAGTATTTTCTGAATAACATAAAAATTTAAGTAGCTACAGGAAATAAACCTCTAAATATATGTATTCAATAGATATAATTTAAATGTCGTCTCAGTAGGCAAACACAAAACAGGACTACAATTTTCCGTGTTTCTTTTCCACAGGAGAGATAATTACATTTCCAGAGACCCCTGGAAACAATTTCATGGTTTTAATTTCATCTCTCAATCTCTAATGGTGTGTCTAGTTTCTAATAGCAATTATCTTACACCGCTGATTCCAAAAACAGTGAGCTCACTGGAGAAAACGCAGGCAAACACGACTGTGCCTTTGGGTTCATCTGCCTAAATAAATTGATGTTAACACTATTTTCCCCTAAGCCTATAGCAATATCCTCAGGTCTGAAAGCAAATGGAATTTTCCATTTTTGATAATGAATGTTTATATTTGGGGGAATGATTTCAAACTAAGCATTAATGTACATCACAGGACAAAGGCCAATAAAGATTTTAATCAACCTTATCTTTTGAGTAAAAATGCCTTGGCTATAATAAGCAAATGTGATCTGTGGGCTTACTTTGTTTGAGTCCTGACTTGAAGAATCCAACTGTAAGATTACATTTTTATGACAAGTGAGGAAAGGTTGATACACAGCAGATACTAGAATGATAGCAAGGACGTATGTTTAATTTGATTAGGTATGACACAGGCATGGTTATTTACAGAGTACATATCTGCACTTTTTTAGTGCACCAAACAATTACGTAGGAGTAAAGGCAAATGAAGGTAGATTTGGGGTTTAAACTAATGGAGACAAAAGTTTGAGAGCTCCTCAATGTTTTGGTACCAGTAGAGTTGAGCCCTGATTGTTAATTTGTTCTAAGAACAGCCTGTGGTTGAAGCTTCTGGAAATAATAAGCAGGTATTCTCATTCTGCAAGCAAACATGTGTCTATTTTGTAATGCATGTCTACTAACCAGCATATTTTAATGTTCTCAGACACAGGCATGAGTGCTGGCAAATGATTAATATCTTTAGAATAACGTTTTAATTAACAGTTAATTTCCTCCAAAACGTGAATTTTTCTCCCTCAGGAAGCTACACATGACTGAAATTCAAATGCCAAAGTTTAGCCATTTCTTCATCTAAAATGGGACAAAACCACGCATTAAACAGATAACAGCGTAAATGGAAAATATTATTCCCTCGCTCAATTGAGTTTCTTTGAATAACAAATGTTTGATGTTCCCGAGTAGATGATGACTAGGTAATAATTATTCATTTGCATGCAAAAGAGGTTCAATTCAAAACTTCAGTGCAAATCTCACAAACATGTCCTCCTCCTGGGACAAACGTATGCTTGGTGCGTACATTTAAAGTTCTTCAATTTAACTCATTTAAAAATCTAAAACCTATTTCTTCCCAAGGGATGAACTCAACTGATCTTTAAAACCCAGTGAGCTCACCTGACCCATCGGACCCCTGGGATGCTTAAGGGGACAGAGCTGAGAACAGATCCCTGCCCTGACCTCCTGAAATATTTTGTCAGAGCTATAAAAAAAAAAAAAGTTATCTTATATTAAGTTAAAAAAAAAAACCTCTCAGCATTTTTCTTCTGAAAACACGAATGAAAGATATTTAAATTCATCTCTTGGATGACAAATTATTAACTTGAGACAAAAAAAAAAAAGGTTTAGCCTGACATTTCTAGGAGTCATGGATTGATTTTGTTCTATGCTAAACAAATTGTGTCTGCAGTTGGCAGTTAGGCGATCATTAAAAAAGGTGCGGGTCATGATGGAGCTTTCTTGTTACTGCTTTTGTTCAAGCCTGAAAAAATGTGCCAGAGCTTTGCAGAATCCAGCCATAAGCCGTGGCCTTGATATTCGGGGAAGTCCACCTGGTCACCTTATATACTTAGAAACTGGCCTTGTCTGAACGTGGACACTCACCCACGGCCCTAAGCCTGAGTCTCAACTGGACATCCCACAAAGGGAGATCAATAATGAATAAAGACAACACTGGCCACTTCCCCTCCTGCTCCTCCTCACAAAGCCCAATGCTAGCATGCTCTCCTGAATTCTGACCATCAGCAGAGGTCAGGCTCCACCTCCTTCCTTCACCTCTGTAGGAATGTGGACTTGTTTCTTGTCCAGTTATCATCTCTTCCTACTAGAGTGGGCTTTTGGTCCATTGAACCCCTGCAAGGGATCCATCCCTGAACTAGTCCAGATTAAAGGAAGAAGTTTAGAAATAACTGAGACCTGCACAAAATAGCATTGTATTGCCCTGTCTCGTGAAGCTTGAGCTATTCCCTTTAGAGTTCCTATAAAATCTATTTTGTGGGGTTACTGAGATGGCTCAGTGGGTAAAGCATGCAAGAAAGAAAACCTGAGTTCATATTCTTACCAACCATGTAAAAGCCAGATCCAGCAACTCAAATCTGCAACTCCTGAGTTGGAGGGCTTGGAAACTGGCAGATCCTGGGGCTCACTAACCCATCAGTATAGCCAAAATGGTGACCTCCACAGCACCAAGAGAGACTATGTCTCAAAGGGAGTGGGGGTGGGGGAGCAATAGAAGATACATAGCATTGGCCTCTTGCCTCCTATACACGTCCATGCACAGGCATACCCATCTTAATACACACACACACACACACACACACAATTCTATTGCATATGTAGGTTCATTTTAATATGATTGACAGATATGGGGTAGGGCCTATGAGCACGTACTAGTCCTACAAAGGCCTAAGCTGGCCTTGATCACACTCTATTTGTTTTTCCTATTCCATAACCCCTCCTCTCCCTTCAGTCCAGGCTTTGGCCATCATAAACTTAAACTTCATAAACTTCTTTTGAGTTTTATTGCAAATGAGACTTTACACCTACCTAAGACCATAGACATCTTATTCACCTTTAAAGGCTGTTGCTGCTCAGGGCAGCTGGATTGACCTACCCAGGCTTCCCTTAGGAGTGCAGACAACACAGGGAGCTGGCTTCACCCACCAGGGAGCTCTAGCCAGGGAACTACTGGTTTTTTTGCCCCCAGTGCAGAGATGGCATTAGTCTCTCTAGAGTCACATGACCAAGGGCACTTGGTCAGAGGTTGGATCACTGGTTGAAAGCAATATAGACATAGTTTTAGGGGTGATTCCTGCTCAGAGGAAGTGTTACCACAAATCTGAGGGCAAGGGTAGGTGAATTTGCTGATAGCAAATACAATTTTGGTAAGATGTAGATGATCCCTGGGGTATTGTAAACTACATCTACCGTTCATCCCAAAGTCCCGTGGTAAACCAGGCACAATTCCACCAAAGTTTCACAGAGTACAGAAGAGGGGGTGACCAAGAGTGTGTGGATACTCCTTCCATAAACAGCCTTGGAGACTGCTAGCCAGTCAGTCTATCCAGATTTGGGTGGGGTCCTCCCACTTCCAGTATAGGAGGCAGGCGTGTGGGTGCTCCTCCCACAAACCTACACACAGCCCTGGAGAGCCAGCCAGCCAGTCTAGCCAAACAGATGAGCTTCACCCTGCCTCTCCCCCCCTCCCCCAGCCCCAGCCCTATCAACTGAGAGACTCTTTCAGAACATAATGTGGAAGGCCAGCAAGCATGGCTCTGAGGGTAACAGACATTGTTGTCAAACCTGCTGAACTCAGTTTGCTTCTTTGGACCTCACAGTAGAAGGTAAAAACTGGCTTCCAAGGCGCCCTCCACAGGCATACAGCAGCACATGAATGCCCTTCTACTACATGAGTTAGTGTAACAAAATTAAAAGTCATAATTTTAGAGATGTACATACACATGTGCCACACAATAAATAAATGAGATAAAGGTGAATAAAATTTAAAATATCAAAATAAATTCAAATATCTTCCAAGTTTGAGCTTGACTCTCCAGTTTGAACTATAACACAAATGTTTTAAGATATGAAAAGGGCATACTAACAAAATGTATCTCCTTTTCTTTGAACCATTCCCCTTCCCTCCTTCTTTCTTTAGGGAACCAATCCGTTGTACAGAGGCTCCACCAGCACGTTTAAGAATGTGACCTACAAGCACAGGGAGAAGCACAAAGCAGGCCTTTCCTCAGATGGGTAGGCAGACCTCCTTCGGCAAGAGAAAGTCAACTCTGCTTACGTCAAAGGTTAATGCACTGTATGATTTGTCTTTCTTTGTTGCTTCAGAAGGAGGTTGACTTAATAACAGGTCATTCAGAGATCAATCATTCAGGGCATGAAGGTGAGACATTGTTTGCAGGTTGGAAATAATCGAGAAAAGAATATCCCAAGCAAAGAGGTGAAGTCAAGACCCCTTGAAGAATATGAACTCTGTTGCATTAATGCCTCAAAAAATAATCATCAAAATAATTCCCGGGAACTTGATTTGCGCTTGAAAAATGTTCAGAATTAGAATCTCACTTGCTTCCTGAATCCACCTTCCTAAAGTCTTTGTCTCCAAAAATTCCCAGAGTCCTTAGGGCCGATTATTCAAAAACTTGCAGAAAATCTCCTATTTCCTGAAGGAATTTGTTTCTTTGTTTGGTTTTTGGGGTTTCGGTTTTTGAGTTTGTTTTACTTTGTTTGTCTTGTTTTATTCTGTTTTGTTTTGTTTTACAACAATCTGCCTGTCTCTGCCTCCTGCGTGCTGGGATTAAAAGCATGCCACAGCATGCTCAGCCGTCTTAATTTTCAGGTATGAGAAATGAGAGTCTGAAAGAATTCGGATCTCCCAGTGATCTCCTAAGTGAGAGATTTGAAAATTAAATGTTAATCATTGTCATGAGCTTGTACACTTAAAAGACGTGGACACACAAGTATTTTGTTTCAAAGATGAGGAAGGGGTAATTAGGGTTAGGTTATTACATTGCCACTAACACTGAAGATACGGGGCCTCCATGCTCAATTGCCCTCTGGTTCCCAAGTTTCCCTCCTATTATTCCATATTTCTCAATTATTGCACTCAGCTACAGTCTTCAAAACTACACGACTGTCATACAAAAGTGTCCACTTTAAAAAAAATCACTTTAAGTTATTCACTTATCAATAAGAGTTTCAGGAAAAGAAAAGAAAACTTGGGTAACAGAATGAAAGGTCACACAGCTATAGATCAAATGTGTCAAGACTACGAAAGTCCCTCATGGAGTCTGCCCTTCCTATAGGATATTCCTATCCCATATGCACCACCCAGCATGCACTTCCTAGCTTCAGAGGGTGGACATACCACCCACTTGCTCTAAAAAGTAAGACCACGTACAAAATCTACGCAGGCAGACAACGAACAACCCAGTAGCAGATTGGAGGGATAGTCTCTGGAGTTTCATTTCTTATGGTTACTGCTGCATTCATTACAAAGCACTTTTGATCTCACTGGATCTCCACAGAGAAGCTGAGAGGATAGGAGCTGGGTACAGACTCTCAGTCTCTCTCCTGCATGAGACTCTTTTGTCAGTAAAATGATAGAAGGATTGTATTAATTATGGTATAACTATCTTAGTTTGAAAGTATACTGACACAAAACAAATAGCAGGTAGGTCCCTGGAATGTGGGCCGGTTGCTGTATTTTTGTGCAGTGTGTATTGCCTTAACTGGATATTAAGGTGAAGCCACTCCCTAGGTGAACGACTCCATGTTAGTGGAAGCTTCAGCGGCTGTCCGTTGAATTGTCAGCTTGGTGTCAAACCTCCTTCACTCCTGCCAGATAAGAATGTGTACGTTTTCACATCGTCTAGATTCTTTCTCTTCTGGTTTTCAAATAACTCAGGTAAATTAGTCAGTGAGGGAGTACACAGGTAAATTTAAAAGAAAAATCTTGATGAATCTCCTTTGGATCCCTGAATAGTCCAAGACCTTGGAGTCTGAAGCAACCAATAGATGCACTCTCAGTGATATGGTGGCACTGCCGCTGCCACACGGGGCTGTTTGTGCTATTTTCTGTTATTGCTGAAATGGGATTTTTAAAAAATAGAAGTTTCTCTCATATGTGTATCAGGAAGAATTTGTTCTTTCTCTAATTACTGTTTTGACCCAAGGCAGGACCTTGAAAGGGCCAAAACATTAACAGTAGTGCTTCTGTTCACTGAAGAATTATGTTACATGAAGATGAAATGGTTGTGTTTTTTTAAAGTGGTTTTATTGTGTTTTGTGTTGGCATAAATAAATGTAATTTAAACAATGAACACTGGTTGGATGATAATGTCTTTTATTTACTTGGTACAAATCCCTTTCTTACATTTCTGGATCTTTCTGTAAATTACTCTGACTTGCTTTGGTGATTTCAGTCAAGAACCAAGGAGAAGAACAGAACATTATCCTACATTTGATAAAACCAAGTTCTTTATGATTGGTGTTATGGGTTTAAATATTTCCCCTGAATATTGCCCTTAAAGAACCATGTCTTAAACCCTAGACTAAAATTACAGATAGAATCTTTAAAGAGGCACATAAGTTTAAATGGGGTGACAGTGAGAGGCCCTAATCCAGGTGGCTGATGTCCTTTTGAAGAAGAGGGGAGAGGACAAAGATGAACACTCCATGGCACAGGGAGAAGACTGCCATCCATAAACCAAGGACAGGGACCTTATTGCTTACTTATGGTCCTTTTTATTTGTACCTATAAATGTCACATATGGGTGAAATGGCAGTTCCATCCTCAAGTTTTTTGAGGAATGCCCATGTTCATTTCTATCTTGCTGTAAGACGTATATTCTCACCATCATCTGTTCCTTTTCTCCCACATTCACACCAGAGTTTGGCATTATTTTTTCTTTAGGAGAGCTAACATGACTATAGTAGGGTAGACTCTTAGTATAGTCTTAGTTGTTGCTTGTAGTTTTAAGCTACCTGCCTTTTACTTTGCACTCTGGAGCTCCTACCAGGCTTTCCTTTTGTACTACTCACCTTTGGTCTGGGAGGAGGCCGCACTACCAGCCCCCTCCTGAGACCCTTGACATATAAACACAGTTTGTTATTTTACAACTTCTAGGGATAACGGCTCGGCATTACTATCTCCGGCCTGGAATAATGTGCCCTTGCCAATTTATTATCTCCATCTCTCCACATGCCCTAAACTTCAGTGGCTAGTTCTACCTAGCCCCTGCCAAACATCCTTGGCCACCCGCCTGTGGCAGAGGCCACGGGCCCCAGCTCCCTCTGAGATCTCACATGGTTGCTGTATTCTTCTTCCTCTAAAGCATGGCAGAAAAGTCCCTCTCTCCTTCCCTGTGTCTGCCTTTTTCCTCCTGGAACCCAGAAAGTCCCACCTGTATCTTCCATACAGCAATTGGTCCCCAGTCTTCTTTACTGACAAATAAAGAACCAATTGGGAAACAGAACTTTAACGTCAGAACTACCCCCTTCACTTGGTTTATATTTTCATGATGACCGAAGATATTGAACAGTTTTTCATATATTTATTAGTCATTTGCGTATCACTTTTTAGAACTGTCTATTCACCTTATTCTTTCATTTATTGGTTTAGATGATAGGATATTGTGTTCTCTCTCTCTCTCTCTCTCTCTCTCTCTCTCTCTCTCTCTCTCTCTCTCTCTCCCTCCCTCTCCCTCCCCCTTCCCCCCCCCCGTGTGTGTGTGTGTATGTGTGTGTGTGTATGTGTGTGTGTGGAGTATGTGATATGTGTGTGATGTATGTCTAGGTGTGCATATGACGTATGCATGTGTGTGATGTATGTATGCATGTATATGCACATAAAGCCAAAGGTCTACATTGAGTATCCTCTTCAGTCAGTCTTCACCTTGTTTTTTTGAAACAAGATTGCTCACTGAACCTGGAGTACACCAGTTGGCTGGACAAACTGGCCAGCTAGCCCTGAGATCCTTCTACCATAGTCTTTCCCCCATACCCTACCCAGCACTGTGCTTACAGATACACCACCATGTCTGGCTTTTATATAGGTTCTGGGGATCTGATTTGGGTCTTAATAACACACAGCAGACACTATACTAACCGAGCCATCCTCCCAGTTTGGGTTCTTTTAATCTATTTTTTTGAGTTCTTATATATTCTCGATATTAATTTTTGTGTCAGATGAAGTGCTAACCAAGACTTTCTCCCATTCTGTAAGATGTCTCATTACTTGGCAAACTATTTCCTTTGCTATGAGAAGTATTTTTTAAATTTCTTGCTGTCCCATTTGTCAATTCTTGGTGTTGTTTCTAGAGTTCTTGGAGTCCCTTTCAGAATGACTAGATCTTCAAGTGTTTGGCTGCATTTTCCTCTATTACTTTCAGACTTTCTTTTCTCAGATTAAAATCTTTGATACATTTTGAGTTGATTTTTGTACAGATAAGATTGAGGCTTCATTTTTATACATGTGGATATCAAGTTTTTCCATGATTATGTGTGGAAGAGGCTATCTTTCTCCCGCCATGTGTTTTTGTTTTTGCTTTTGTTTTTGGCATCTTTGTAAAAAATCAGGTGGCTGTCCCTATAGGGTTTAGTCCTGTACCCTCTACTCTCCTTCCTTGGTCTTCATGTGACAGTGTCATGTGGATTTGTTACTATGACTCTGCAGTGTAATTTGAAATCATGTGTGGTCATAGCTTCAGTCGTTTTCTTTTTGCTCAGGTTTGCTTTGTTTACCTAGGACCCTTTATGCTTCCTTGTGAATTTAGAAATTGATTTTATTATTTATGTAGCTGGTCATTAGCAGTGTGTTGTGATTGCATTTGGTAAGACAACTTTTTCCCCTACATTAATTCTGCCAACCCATGAGCATGGAAAGTCCATCTTCTAGGTTTTTTTTTTTTCAATTTCCTTCAATGTTTTAAAAATTTCACTGTTAGAAGTCTTTCAGTTTCTTGGTTAAGTCTACTACTAGGTTTTTAATTCAATTATAAATGCAATTGTTTTCCTGATTCTCTTCTCAGAATGTTCATTATTGGTAAATAGACATACCAGATTTATGAATACATGAGTATAGAGAATTAAGAAGAAGACAAAATGCTCACAAAGTCAAGACTAATATCTCTCTCTCTCTCTCTCCCTCTCTCTCTCTCTCTCTCTCTCTCTCTCTCTCTCTCTCTCTCTCTCTCCATTCCTTAAAAAAAAAAGCAGACAAAATCAATCAGGAGTAGTTATTTCTGAGACATGCTATTTCTTTTTTTAAATTTTTTTGAGACTATAATATTATTGCATGATTTTTTCTTTCCCTTTTCTCCCTCCAAAGTTTCCCATATGTTCTTCTTTGTTCTCCTTCAAATTCATTGCCTCTTTTTTCTTTAATTGTTGCTCTATACATATATATGTATATATGGGGTATGTGTGTATAAATATATATATCTAAATACAACCTGCTCAGTCTATATAATGTCACTTGTATGCATATATTTTCAGAGCTGAACATTTGGTATGATACATTAAATTGATGCGGTCTTCCATGAGGAAGACTATTTCTCCTTCTCCCGGATTCCTCAGTTGCCTGTAATCTTTGTCTAGAAC